AAATATTAATAAAGAACAAATGAAATATACCCTACTTACGTAACACAAAAACACTAATTGTTGGTTTCAAATACTGCCGACGATTTAATGTTTACTCAGCTTTCAAATGACACACGTTTTCGGCAAATCAACTACACTGCAGAGAAGTTTTAATATTATCTCGCTGCAGCTTGTATAAGACGCCATTATGACACGTATAAAGATAGTAGTTTTTGTTTGATTTAGCACAAAGCTATACACACAATGGGCTGTCTGGGCTGTGTTTGCAGCGGGTATCGAACACATATTCCAGTGTAATATGCCATCAAGCTTATCGTGATCTACCAGGGGACGATGTTGTAGTTTAAGGGAGAATCGTTTCATTAACTGTATTGTTTATTAGTTCTATCTATATATTTACATATGACGAATATAATTACTACACTGTTTTCAAAGTAGAGGTGGCTTACTAATTATTGTATCTAAGTTTTATTTGCTTACGACTTACGCTACGTTATTATTGTGACTTTATATGAATTTTTTATGTATCCTGGTTAGTTGTCATGAAGGTAAGTTGGTAAAACATGTTATAGGTGTAAAAAAATAATTAAATTAATTATTTCTACTTCATTTCATGTTTAAACAGTAAATATCACAGGGAGTTTTGTTTTAGAGCAATTTAAAATAACTGTTATGCTAAAACTAAATATCTAAAATAATAGCATTAACATTCCTAATATCTCCTAGACTATACAGCTAATTTACTCAAAATACCGAAAAAGTTTGTTCTAATTCTTACAATTTTAGCTTAAGTAGAAATAACAAACTTTTTGTCCTAGAATATAGTCTTTTAGATTATGCTAAGCCTATTTTCGTAAACAAATGCCACAATACCATTAGACAAACAATAATTACTGCTTTTGGACTTTATTCTACAGCCTCTTGCTTTCCCGAAAGGGGGGCCGAAAGCCGCCTGGAGGGGCAGTTTTATCCACTCGCACCACAACACATTAGTGTGTTATCTGTCTGTCAGTCAGTAGACACTAAAATAACTTCACATAAGGGATTCTTAAAATTGCAATTTGTAATGTCGTGACGTTAGTAAAACGTGCGTATTCCATGAATCACGAGAAGAATCATGCATTCTGTAGGCTACAATATAGTATGACATATTAACTTCAAAAGCAAGAAATAGAAATATTTGTTATTCTTAATTTTGGTTTTACCTTACTCTCGACACAGAACACTTTCGGGGATCCTGTGGAAGTGCATCTAGTATATATGGATATATATATATATATACTCTTATCAAGAGACAAAGTCTACTATTAAACTCAAATTAACTTCACTCTCAAGCCCAGAGGAAGATCATACAAATTTTTAGGCGCTAAGATATTTTACTGTGAGTAATATGATTTATATAATGGACTTTTTGGCCGGATAACAAACATAATGGCCACTGTTATTAGGCTACCACCCAATATAAGGTTGGTCCACCGAATCCATGTGATCCGCAGGAGCTTATGATGGATAATGCGGAGCTCAATTCATATCCCAAAATACACTCCTTGGATTTGATTGTTTGTAGCTACACAATGGGCTATCTTTGCTCTGCTAAACACGGTATCGAAACTCGGTTTCTAGCGTTGTAAGTCTGCAGATTGATTGTTCTGGATAAGGAAGATTACTGAAGGCAATCATTCTATACAAATAAATGTACTACATTACAAATGTGTGTGTGTGTGTGGTGCTAATAAAGTGGCGTGTTTACAATATCACGTATAGTAGTGTGTTTGATATGTTATAGGTTTACTGTATGTTGTATTCAATGTTGCCTGTTTCTTGTTGGACGTGTACTTCATACACTAGTTTGATGTAGATATGCCTATTAAATGAGATTGACCGTGAATACAATGTTCAATGTACTAGAGGTATCACTAGGTATTTGATTGTTTTTGAATTTCGCGCAAACCTACACGAGGGGTATCTGCGCTAGCCATCCTTAATTTAGCATTGTAAGACTAGAGAGAAGGCAGCTAGTCATCAACACCCACCGCAAACTCTTGGGCTACTCTTTTAACAACGAACAGTGGGATTGACCGTCACATTATAGCGTCCCCACGGCTGAAAGGGCGAACATGTTTGGTGGGACGGGGATTCGAATCCGCGACCCTCAGAATGAGAGTCGAGCGCTCTAACCACCTGGTCATGCCGGGCCCGCTAGGTATTTAAAAGATTCGGGGCTCGGGCCCAAAGGCGCGGGAATTTTCGGCGTTTCAGTATGATATCGATCATGGTTTTCTAGTCTGATTTTTCAAGATATAATCTGGAGATTCGAGGTACGGGCCCCGTGTGCCAGTACCTAGCGACGCCTCTGCAATATATCCTTTTTGTAGTGGGTAATATATTTGAAATTCAAAGATTATTGCAGATAATGTGTTTAATTGTTTGGTTTATTATGAGCAGTATATTTGATAATATCGATTTAAAATGTGTAATATGTTTAACATAAAATGTTTAATATAATTGAAAATCTAATACAGTTTGACTTTATTGTGAAAAATGTGCTTAATATACACTGAGTTTATGGTGGTTAATGTATTTAATATAATGCGTGTGTATGTGTGAGTATTATAGCAAAGCCACCTTGGGTTATCTGCTGTATTCGCCGCGTGGAATCGAACCCCTGGACTTTAGTGTAGACTTACCACTGTCCCACCGGGGGACTAATATATAGTGTAATTTATAATTTATAGTGTAATATGTAATTTATGAAGGATATCATAATATTTTTGATGTAATGAATTTATGATGAGCAACATGTTTAATATACTGAAAGTATTGTGGGTAATATATTTAATATACTGAATGTATGGTGGGTAATATGCTTAAATTATTGAGTTTATGGTGGTTAATACGTTTAATGTACTGAGTTTATGGTGGATAATATGTTTAATACGCAGAATGTATGTTAGGTAATGTGTTTAATAAAACGAATGTATGGAGGGTAATATACTTAATTTACTGACTTTTTGGTAGGTAATATGTTTAATATACTTCGTTTATGCTTAATACGCAGAATGTATGGCAGACAATATGTTTAATATACCGAATGTATGGTGGTTAATATGTTTAACATAGTGAGTTTATGGTGGGTAATATGTTTAATATACTGAGTTTATAGTGGGTAATATCTTTAACATAATGAGTTTAAGATGTGTAATATGTTTAACATACTAAATGTTTGGTGGGTAATATGTTTAATGTATTGATTTTATGATGGGAAATATGTTTAATATATCGAATGTATGGCGGATAATATGTTTAATATACTGAGTTTATAGTGGGTAATATGTTTAATTTACTGAGTTTATGGTGGGTGATATACTTAATATGCTAAACGTATGGTGGGTAATATGTTTAATATACTAAATATATGGTGGGTAATATGTTTAATGTACTGTGTTTTATGTTCTAAATTTTCTTGATTAATCTGTATGAATAAATATTTAATCTATTCATAATGCTTTGAATAACTTACTTGTATATAAGTACTATCTAATTTATTGCGTGTGAAATTTTGTCGCCACGTTTAACAATGTACTTAATCCACTCTAAACCAGCCGGTATTAATGTTTTAGTATAAAAAATTCAATATTTAATTGTTTATTACTTACAACACCTTTACAAACAATAGTGTTCATATATGAGTAATATTTATGGAAGAAAACAAATTCTTTAAGTGCACAACATTTTTCATACATTTGACGAGATAATTATACTGAAGCTCAACAAAATCACAATTACAAGAAGTACATTAAGATGGCTTAGTTGTGTAAAACCAAAACCATATAAAACTAATAAAAAGATGCTTATACATCACGCAATTCGGCTGATATGTGGAGGAACGGGAAGTTTTATGTTTTGTGAGAAAAATTCATAAATTCCGTTATATAGTAACGGTATATATATGAGCGAGCGTGAAAATATGATCGACGATTTTTTACAAGTGAATGTTTATTGGATCACTATGGAACAACACTTATAAATGTATATTATAGAAATAAAAGATAAAGGGAAAATCTGCGAGAGTGTAAAAATCAAAGTACCAAACACAGACTAGGGTTTTGCAAACGTTTATTAATATTTTGAATTGACAAGATCTTCCAAATTCATTATTATATAGTTGTATGTACAAAGTTAGTTATGTACAAATTGTATATACAAAGTAAAGTCGTGATCAACTTAAATTTTTAGATGTTCTATGGCTTTACGGTACATCACTCTCCTGAAGTTGCTTCCTTAAAACCTTTTTTGTAACGCAGATTGACTAGAGTATAACAAAACTTTGTGCGTCCAGCAGCTTCAGTTTATTTAACGAACGCGTGCATCATCTTTAAAAAAAAAAACGCGCGTACGTGGCACTTTCATCGTGCTAAAACACATCAGAAAACGACAGAAAATTGCTTATTAAAACAATAGAAAAGACGATAGCTAAAGAAACAAATAAACATGTAAGATTGAAACCATGTCCTTTAAAAGAACGCAGTCATAGATAGATTGTGGTACAAAGTTTATAATTATCTTCTTTCTAGTCCTAGTTACCTACACTAATGACGTTAAAAGAGGATTAGTGATGAAGTCTATATAACTTAAAACATAGTTGTGGAAAAAAATAAGATTCAAATTCAGCTTGACACATCAAACATAATTCCAACATCTGGTTGAAGGTGATACATACGTTAATAACTTGAAAG